CCCCTCGCCCCCGCCCCCCCTTCTTCACTAATCTCCACCGTCCTATTCTCGTTCTCGTCATTGCCGTCTGCCAGCAGCGCCCCCCTAAGACTTTCAAGTCTGTTTTACCAGCACTCCACCGGTCAAATAAAACAAGAGAAACAAAGAGACAGCGACGTGGGATCTGACGAAAAGGAGATAAAAACTCAACGAATAAGGATGACAAGTTCTTATACGTAACAGAAGCAGCGAAGAGAGAGATGGAGAGAGAGAGGGTGACGAGCGGATTGCCTTACTCGATGAATACGGATAGAAGGGAGTAGCTGATGGAAGGGATGGATATTTGCAGCGGATGTAGAGCGATCGTGAGTTCGTATCGTAAATGAAATCACGTATTTGCTGGCGGAACACGAAATCAGGAAATATAGTCGTGTATATGGCTGCCGGTGATTCCGGTGCGCGTTACCATAGAGAGAGAGAGAGAGAGGGAAAAAGAGGAAACAGCGTGTAGCTGGCCATTGCTGAACGGGTAAGAAGAAAATAACAGGGTAGCTGAACGGGGCTTGCGTTGGCTAGGCTGAAACTAAAATCAATTGTAATCAAGGCCGACGCATAAATCAAATGTTGGAAGGAAGATCGGCCAATCCTGCATGCCGTAGGCCGTACGTAGGCCGTACGGAGTCCCGTTTCCTTTCGAATGATTTGTCGCCGACAGACGTTCGGCTGCCCTCGCAGGCTTCTCTTCTCCAGCCACGTTCTCGATTCGAGCCGCAACCCACATGCTCCGGTATCAGCCGATCGTCTCTTATCAGCCCCTTCGATTTTCACCAAGACTTAAACTTTTCATACCCTCTTGCTAGGCGACCCTTAGCAGCGGTATCCAGGATACCTGGGAAGACCATTTCGCCCCTAAAGAAAACATTCCTCCGACTTTGACAACAAGCTACCCCCCCACTACCCCCACCAGTAAACCACAGTCGGTTATCCATGTCGCATGACTCAACGAAGAAATCGAAAAAGCAATCTCTCGCTCGGTGCGCGTGCATGCGTGCGACTCTGCACGACCTATGACCTCGGGCATCGTGCGGTACGTCGTATAGTCAGCGCCCAAAGGCAATCCCGTGCAGTACAATAAAGCCTATAACATAATAACGTATTAGCTGTCTATTAACGAAGGGTCTAATCGATGATATATCGATCGAAGCTCTTTAATGTAAACTCGTAGACAGGTTTGATGACGATATGTAAGATACTGGAGGGGGGGGGAGGGAGGGGGGACGTAAAAGCCTTAAAATCCATTAACGTTTCAGGAACTCCTCTTCGTCCTATATATCTATATACGTCTGTCCTATATGTCTATATACACGGACTGCCTACACGTTAACTCGTAAAACCGGTAGACTTTACGTAAGCGCAGTTAATCCACCGAGCCAGCCCTAATTTAATGATATTCAATATGCAACGGCTTCACTCTATTGCGGAGCTCTCGGTTCCACAGTTCCATTATGCCGACCTTTGTATCAGGTGACCTATCCCATACTGCCTCGTCAAATCCGAGGTATAGCCAGTATCCCCCGTATATAGCGTCTCCTCGGTAAGAGATCACGCCCCACTCGACCTCTTTGAATATACATCCGTTAACGAGCATACCATTCTCATTAACAGTTAACTTTGTTCGTACTCGTGCCTTGAGACACCTGCTTAATTATTACACACGGGACGTATGTATAAAATATCACGCTACGCTTATACATAGGTGCATACGGTAACAAGCAGTACCCACTGTCCCGGCTGGAGCTTGCCAATTGGCTCGGACAGCTGTTACGCGATGGCTTCGATTAAAAGACGTTTAGCCAGATTCGGAGCTAAGGATTTTCGGCTATAGCCAAATTTTGAGGCAGCCCGCGAGTGCGAGTGAGACAGACCTATGGGTACTCGCGCGCGTAAGACAAGGACGAACGTAATGGTTACGCTTGAAAACCAGAAGCAAATGAGAACCATTCCTTTTGCGGATCCTTACTCCTACGTGTGTTTAACAGCCTGTCCCTCTGTCTCTCTTGGTGACGCGAAGCTCCGGTAAGAGATTTCGAAAATTCTAACCATCTTCAACTGCGCGCCTCCTTCTCATCGATCATGCCAATGATTGCACGATAAATATTAGAAAATCTTGTCTTATTCTTTTTTCCGTATCGTGGGGCTCGGCGATGCTTCTTCGATGTGATCAAGTGACAGCTGACAAATTCGAGACCTTACCCTTAAGCGTATTTTTCGATATTATTATTTTAATATATTATATTTTATTATTCAATTGTATATCTGTATATTATATATATATATATTTATGCTTGACGTACTACTCAGGATTGGCAATATTACTATAATCCCTTCTATTCAGACGTTGCTTACCGAGACGTTTTTAGATAACAAGGGTGGCAATTCACGCCAGTGACGAAATTTATCCTAATCGCATTTCGAGGATTGAGGGTTATTCGCAAAAGCCATAGGGATGTATATATATATATATATATATATATATATATATATATACACTCCTCGTTACAGAATGTTGTAGAATTTTCGAACAGAAGATCTGACTGAATTTTACTTCGGGGATCAGATTGGGCCCGGACAGGTATTAAGTGTTCGAAGTCCCCGCCGTATTCTCTACACTACTATATGTATATATATATATATATTATACATGTAATACGTAATGGCGGCCTCGCTATATCCTTGAGCCTGTCAATATTCATTATTTGTTAATTATAAGTTAACGACTCCAGTCTGCTAGCCCATTTCACGTGGTTTAAGTTAACATTGGATGACCAGCGATATATCACATTATAATTTTCGTGTCAGTCTCATTGAAGTTCTGGCCGTCGTTCGGCAGGCTATTTGTCAGTTGTTATCATTAACGATTCGTCCCTTCCGATTATCGGGACTATCGTTTCGGCACGATTATCCCAAATCCAGCTCAGGGCTTGTTTATCTAGCTTATTTTCGCCGATTTCCAAAATACCTGCTAAAATCAAGATCAGTCTCGAGTACAGGTGCCGTTAAATATTTTTTGACCTTCTATGCTTTCAATGATCTATTTGCCTATTGCCAATTTTTTTTTTCTCAAGACCACTTACCAACTGGGTCGGATCGGCTGACTCCTCGCGCTTGACGCCGGGCTTTCCCGCCAGACGCGTTCTTTTTAAACGAAATTTTATTTTTAATCGAAATTCACGTTTTTAAATTTTTTAAAATTTTTACTACTAACCTCGTAATTTCGATCAAGCAAAGTTACGTCGTAATTTGTAAATATTTTCTTCTTATAGGTTTTCACTTATTCATATATCAACTGCTATCGCAATCAAGGCTCGTTAGGGTTATCGATAATACATTGTATATACACAATTGCAATTATCATTACGAAATCGCTAAGATATAAAGTATTTTGACAAAAAATAAAGGATAATGCACATATAATAAATACGATTACGTCTATAGATACCGTGTTCGGAATAGTAGTAACAGGTACACATACGGGTATTACGCTTTAACGATTACCTCATAAATACACCATTATGAGTATTGTGAAAGCTTCGTCTAAAGAAAGAGAAAGTGAGTGAGATAGATAGATAGATAAAGAGAGAGAGAGAGAGAAGGACAGATGATATTTTCAGTGAAGACAGAGTGTAGGTTCGGTTAGTTGGGACATCGGGATCTCAAGCGGTCTCGGAGAATTCGACTAAAGTTGTTAAACCAGCGGGTGACGAGTAACGCGAAAATATTGGAGACTCGGGAACAACTAGTGGGACAAGGAAGACGAATCCGATAGAGACGTTCGATAGAAAGAAACTACTTGTCTAATATGCTAATGCAAACGAAATAAAGAAGGAACCAACCTCCTCGTAAAGGCCTAGTCGAAAATGTTCGCGAGCCCCCTGTAACAAAAACATATATAAATCATAAGAAAATCATAGGAAATAAAGTAAATTAATATAGGGATTCAAAATCCGTATCGAACGATAATAACAACGATAACAATAATAGTAATGACAATAACGCACGTAGACGATTGAATTCGTAAGAAGGAAAGAAAAAAAAATAAATAAGTACACTCCTAATGAGAGGCTGAACGTAAGGTCGATGGAAATCATCCGAGGTCGGTCAAAGGTCATCGGGAGCAACGCTGATAGTACGGAAGGGTATACTAGACCGTTGGAAAAGCCATCAGGCATAAGGGTAGTAAAATACGTACAGCCGGGATCGGTAAGTTTACATGATAAATGACCGTACAGCATACTTGTGCCAAAGAGCGATATTCGTTTTCTTCTATTTCCTTCAACATTCCCCCCGAGTAACCCCCCTCTCTGTTTCCGTGGGTTCGCAATGAAGTTCGTGCTCCCTCGACTCTGTCCTACTACCTAAGCGCAGTGTCTGAAAATATCGCACGGTATAGAGATACGCGATATTGGGAGCATCCGGGAGTAAAAAAAAAAAGGAAAAAAAAAATCAAAAAGTCAAGTATGTCTTTCATAGTGGGTTCTGAGGGGGAGGGAGGGGGGTTGAGAATTGAGGGGTCGTCAAAGGTCGAGTTCGAAAGACAGCGCGGTGTAATATCTACATCCGTGATAAGCAAACAGGGAGATCTGAGGTATGACAAAAAGCGAGATTGTCTTGGGTAGGGGTAGGGG